AATATAAGCCTGTCCTATACTTACAATATAATATCACCTAACAAAGTGCTAGATTGTTAGTTTACTAGATACTTTAGGTGGTAGTAACTAGAGCAGATAAGGGAGGCAACTACTAATCTCTGCCCTAATTAGAGCGGAATATACGCCTATAGCTATCAAGCTTACCCCCTTAACAGAGATTAAGTAGCCAGGCGTTACAAGAGGGTTTTTAAGGTAAACCCTTAGGGTTATATTAGATATCTAGTAGGATATAGAGCATCTAACATATATAGGATATAGATCCCCTTGCTTAATTAGATTATTACAACGCAGAACGTTACCTTTAATAAGGATCTTTTCTATAAAGAGAAAGATCTAGAGCAGCTTTAATAGTTAGAGGCTTAAAAGATAGTTAATATTATTAGCAAAGATAAGATCTGCAATATAGGAGAAGTATATAAAGAGCTTAATATCTTTAATTAGCTTTATATTACGGCAGAGCAATATAAGGAGTCTAGTAAGCAAGAAGGACTAAACCTAGCGTAGGAGCTAGGGGGTAGGGTAGAGCTAGAGAAGGTAGATAATTAGGCTAGCTAGCCTAGTAATTCACAACCCCCTAAGCAGACACCTCTAGCGTAGGTACTAAGCACAGCTAGCTTAGCACAAAGGATCTATATAAAGTCCCCTAAGCTAATAGGGCTCTAAACTCCTAAACTAATACTAGAACTAAACTTTAGTATAGGAGATAAAGGATCTATGCAGGTTATAGATTAGGGTTATACTACCTAAGATAGTAGTAATCTAACTTACTTTAACGCCACGATAGGTAGCTCCTAGGAAAGACCTAGAGGGGAGAGTACTATTAGTAGGTCACTCTATAAGAGTATGGAGATAAGTAAGGGCACCCTATCTAGCTCTTATAGGGGTAGTAAGCAGAGCTCCTACCTACCCGCTTTAGGACTAGATTCTATATCTCCTGCAGATCCCTTACAAGCGGCACCTAGAGCTCCTAGAAGAAGCAGAAAACTATAAGTTAAAGGACTACTACTAACGCGTGTTAGTAAGCAAGCTTAGGGACAGGACCCTAATAAACTACTAGGAGGCTCTATAAGTACAGGGATATACATAGTAATAGATCTATTAGATATAGATCTAATTAGAAATCCCTTATACAATCTTTTAGTATATCCTAAACTAAATACTATAATCCACACTATAATCTCAGTAGCAATAGGGAGCAAATCTCCTAAAAACCCTAAAAGGAATACGCACTAGGACGCTCTATAAAAAGAGCTAAAATAATAGAAGGATCTCTATAACCACTAAATAGGACAGTAATTTAGAGACGCAGTATATAAAGAAATTAATACTCTACTAAAAGCTAGTACCTAGGAGGAGATTAATAGGCTAACTAAAGAAGAGCGTCTACTCCTACTTAAATAGGTGTTTACATACAAGCTTAATTAGGATAGTTACCTAATTAAGTGCAAAGCAAGGATAGTAGTAAGAGGAGATCTATAGCTTACTAACTTAATTTATTTAACCTACGCAGCTACCCTAGCAGCTTAAACCTTTAGGACTATAATAGCTATTAGAGTTAAGTTTAACCTTAAGATATATCAATATAACGTTGTTAGAGCTTTCCTTAACGCCTTAAGGGATTAACACCCTATAGTTATCTACAAGCTACCTAAAGGATATTAAATACCTAGGAAGTGCGTTAAGCTTAAACAAGCTCTATATAGATTAAAAGACTTACTATTATTATAGTATAATAAGCTCTTAACTATACTCTAAGAAAATAAGCTTATTACTTCTAAAGAGGAGCTATACCTATTCTTTAATAGAGATTGTAGTATCTTGTTAATATTCTATATAGACAATATCCTATTGCTCTATTACTAAAACTACGCAAGCTAAGCTCACAAAGTCATCCAAGCTCTAAAGCAAAGATATACTATAGAAGAGAAGGGACCTGTAAGCTAGTTTCTAGGGGTAAGAGTAATCTAGGATAGAAAGAGACAGATAATAACACTTATTTATAATAAATATATTAACAAGATTATAAAGAAATTTAATCTAGTAGAGACAGGAAAATTCCCTGCTATACTACTATTAAATAAAGATATTAAAAAGAGCACCAGAGAAGCTACTAAAAAGAAGATCAAGGACTATTAGGAGCGCGTTAGATTAATCCTTTACACCTTAATTATAGTGCGCCCTAATATTGCCTATACAGCCTCCTAGCTCTCCTAATACCTTACTAACCTATCTAAATAATACTTTAATGCAGTTAATTAAGTAATTATCTATCTATACTAAACTTAATACTAATTAATCTAATATAGGAATAGGGATCCTAATAAGCTTATAATATACAGTAATGCGTTATTTGCTAATAATATTAATACTTAGCAATTATTATATAGATACCTAATCACGCTCTTTAGAGGACCTATTATTTAGAAGGCAGCTTAACAATTAACTGTTACCACTTTAACTACTAAGGTAGAGCTCCTTGCGCTTAAGCAAGTAAGCAAAGAAGCAATAGCGTTAAAACACTTTTTAACTAAAATACACCTTACTTTAGATACTACCTAGATAATTAATTATAATAATTAACAAACTATTAGGTTAGTAGTAGGCAATAATAAAAGGATTACTACTAAGCTACGCTATGTAGATATTTAAAACATGTAGCTTAGGCAAGAGTATATAAAGGGATCTTTCTATATTACCTACCTACCTACTAGCAATATACTAGCTAATAGGCTTACTAAAAACCTAACTATATAACAATTTATAAGGTTTAGGGAGTACCTAAAGTTATATAATAGTAGAGTATATATTATATAGTGTTAATTAAAGTAAGGTAGTATATAAGATCTATTAATATATAATATAAAAATAACTAACTATAGCCTACCTCTCTATTATTAACTAGGTAGCTTCCCTAAGGAGCTCTATTACACGCGCGAAGCGTGCCTTAGAGTCTATAGGGGGCCACCTAGGTTGCCCTATCCTAGGATTTATAGGGGGAACCTTAGAGGAGCTAGAGTCCTTATCTTCTAATAAGGAGCTCTAGGCGCCCTTAGCTGCAGAAGCAGCCTTGCGCGCAAGCTTAGTAGTAGTAGTAGTAGCTTTTACTAGCTCCTGCTATTTAGCCTCGCTCTCCTTAAGGAGCACTAAGACCCTCTACTTCTTATCCTTAAGAAGGTCTTAGCTCTTACCTACCTGCTTCTTTACTAAGAAGGATAGCGTAGAATATTAGGCAAGCTTAGGGCTATTAGTTTATTAGTATAGATCTTGCTAAGCATTATAAAGGAAAAATTCTTATATAGATTATATATATAGGGATATAGCTATGCCTAAAGGAGCACTACTAGCACTAAGTCCCCCTACTAGAAGAGTTATAGCACTCGCTATTAGACTTATTAAAGAGCGCTAAGCGTAGATAATTTAGATAAGTTTTAGCATAATAAATACTAGGCTCTCTATAATAGGAGGATCTTAGGGTCTCCTTAGGAGCTAGAGAGGGAGTAGGAGTAGGAGTAGGGATAGGGGGCAGGGTCTAGGGAGGAGCGGGAGCTAGAGTTAGAGCTAGAGTAGTAAGAGCTAGAGTAGGAGCACCTTTCCTTAGCTTCGCGATCTTAGCTATAGTAGTAGTAGCTGCGTGCTTAGCTACTACACACTCTATAATAGCCTTACGCTTAGTAGTAGCGCGCTCTTCTTTAGTAGTAGTAGCTTTAGTAACTATAGCTTTAGCTACGTAGCAGGTAATAAGGGTAGCGTAGGTAGAGTAAGTATAAGTAGTAGGTTTTAACTTTAACTAAGATATAGGTTAGTAGGGATATAGGTATAGTTTAGATCTTTAAGGTTATATAATCTTATAACTTAAGCTATAGTAAAAGATTATAGTTAGGTAGATAGAGTTATAGAGCTCTGTCTAGATAATATCTACGCGCGCAAGCGCAGGCTAAACAAGGAAGGCGCGCTAGTTAGTATCTAAAGGGTAAGCTAATTTAACCCTTTAGATATATAATGCTCTAATTAGCTATACTACCTACTAACTATAAGCGTAACTATAATAATAAAAGATCTACCTACACCTAAGAGGTGTGTTATAGGAGGGATATTAACTAGATTACAGAGCATCTTAATCCTAATTAATCCTAATTAATCCTAGTTAATACCCCTGTATAACCCACTATCTAATTAACTGCTAGCTTACTACTAAGTGCCTAATAAAAAGCAGGAGCTCTAGTAAGGAAGGTTTACTAATTATTCACCTTCTAGTAAGGGTAGCTAAAGCTCTATATATATAAGTCTGATCGTAGTAGATACAATCTAATAATCTATCTCCCAAATTATTCCTAACCTTAGTAATCCAAAATTCAACAGCTAGATTAATAGAAAAAGAGTAGAGATAAGACTAATTAGTTAGGAAAGTCTACTATATAACTAAGTAAGTTTAGGAAATTTATAGTAGGGTAGGATAGCTATATTAGAACTTTTATAGTAGGGTGCTAAAATAAGCACACAGACGCTACACGCGCGTACTACTTAATATACAGGCCTATTACAAATTAGGAAGGAATATAAAGATATAACAATAAAACTAAAAAATATAGTAATAAAGCCTAATATAGATTATAGAGGACAAAGATATAACCCTAGACCCCTAGAAAGACGATTTCACGATAGTTTGTGGGGGAAGGTTAGGGGTATATAAAGGACTTAGGCTTATGCCTAAGCCTAGGTCTAACACAAGATAGACTAAGTCTAACACCACTACTAAGCGAACACACTGGACACCTATAAAAAGGCGTGGAGGGCTTATCTCTCCTTTAAGATACTGAATACTATTATCAACGCTCATTGCATTCTCCCTTGAGGCCAGTCCATAACACTTGGCAGAGTGCGTCGGTTACCCGTGTGCGTTGGTTACCCGTGGGGTACGTTATATATCCATAGGCAAAGTTCTCTTCTCTATTATACTACTTCTCGTCCTATTCGTTATCTCAATCCACTTGTGCGCCAGTGACAGCGCCATTATTATGGTATGAGTTAACCACACCATTGTTACTAGCATGGTTGGTCACAAAGAAAGCATGCTCCATACCCAAGGGACGGCCCTGGCACACGTAGCCTAGCGGGGTGTGCATAATGTCGTGACCTCTGCGGCGAAGGGACACCCATTCCAAGATAAACCTGATTGTGTCATTTGTTCTTGCATTAGATCGCCTGTTCATGCTAGCTTTATCGATGTAGTCCACTAGAGGCGCGCATTCGTCGTATTGCATGTACAATCGACCCGCGAAGATGCCAAGCTCAACCGTAAGGCTTCTTGGAATAATGTAGTCGCTTTGCAGTGCTGGTAAAGAGTAGTATCGTAGGCTACTGAATTGTACCATCTTCTTTGTGACTGGTGCGGAATACGTGAGGAGGTGAACCTTGGAGCGGAATGCTTGATTGCGAATTTGAGGAATCACCATTTCTGCTTCCTCGGCGATGATGATGAGTGCGTTGAAAGTAGTGGGATTGTAGAGGATCCATTCAACCGGTCGCTAATGGAGTGATAAGTATGTCAACAAGACTGGAAAGGCCGTGAACTTACTAAATGGTTATCAATCAAGTCGACCATGGTCGTCTTGATCGTCTTCATAAACTCTGCGGAAACGAACAAGCAAGACTCTGTCCCTGAAATGTCAAACCTCTTGCCGATAGATGTGCGTGAGACAGCGTCAAATACGTGTTCATATCCCTCAACCCCACACAGACGACCAGTACTCACGAAGCCAGAGATGGCAGGGTGAAGTCCAGGGAATACATGGGCTTTGTGATGTAAGGCTTTCTGTACCTCACGCACTTCTTCAACTTGAAATTCTACCTCGCGTTCTTGTTCTACTTCCTCCAGCGCAGAAGAGTGAAGATTGGTTGCTGTATTTGACATATTCAGACGCAGTTCGTTGAGCTTGTTCTTGAAAGTTTGCAGCTGGGTAAACTTGGTCGTGGAGGAGGATGGAACGTGGGTATGCTCCTTGTGACTTCCATATAACTCTTCAAGTGTTTGTTGTTCAGGGTGTTGTAGCACCTGAACATAAGCACTCCTGTCTTTGGCATTAGAGAGGAAATCTGCGTTCTCCCATTCCGCATTTATGCGATTACAAAAGTCGGCACCCTGGGAGACGTATAGATTCTGGAGTTGTTCATTCGAACGGCACGTCTGTTCCAGCAACCAAGTAACGACATGAGAAGAATTGACTCTGTCAGTTTCGTTCATTCCACAAACGTCAAGAATAGACTGATGAGTCTCTGGAAATGCGAAGAAGCAAACGGATTGAGTAGTTGGAAGCTGTCGAAGACGCATGGCAGCTGTGTCCATCCTTAGCTTTAGATATCTCATGTAGCGAATGGTCCTACTCACCTTGCACAGTATGATCTTTAGTCTGCCCAAGAGCAAGTGTCAGCGCACCACAAGCATCTTGAGGAAGTTTCAGGTCAATGCCCCGCGTGTGCGCTTCATCCAGATATACGAGACAATTGTCCATATTGTCGACGAATGGGGTTGCTAGCAAAGGGACTGACTCCTTGATACCGCGATATCGCACCCAGGCTCGATTGTCAGCACCAAAATATACAGCCGCCGGTGGCCTAGTATCTATGTCCATCCATGCCTTAACTAAATTTTCATTACTCATTTCGAGTATGTAAGCACCGGCATCAATGAGAACACGAATATTCTTCTCCCTGAGCTGTTCGAGAAATTCCCTCTCAGATAGTCGCTTCTCACCACGAGCTACAACGTGGTATGCACGGTTCCGTTCTTGCAAGAGGTAGGTAAGCACCTCAGCATTAGTTTGATGCAAGCTTGGCAGATCACTCTGTTGAATCGTCAGCGGCAGCATCATTTTGTTGTCATTGGTACCGCTAAACCCAGTGGTCCTTGCACCTGTGAGTGGGTTATCGAATTCGGTTCGCGTGAACAAAGGTAGATCCCACCCGGAAGCTTGTAGCTTGATGTCAAACTGTTTGGCGTGGGCTGGAAATACAAAGTGGTTCATGTAGTGGTCGAGCACGGTTCTGTCTGCTCGAAGGTGTCTCCAGAGTTCGCCTACTTGATCATGGTCGTCAGAATTGATAACATTCCAATGATGTAAAGCCTCTGGAAGCGAATCGCAACTGCTAGTCCACCTATCGTACTCACTAGCCGGGTCGTGTGATGCCAGAATGTGGCGAAGAGCTTCGCGGAATTGGACTCGACTAAGACCCGTATAATAGAATGCCAAGCATGTGAAAAGAATCGCGGCGTCGGGGTGTCCAAACTCAGCCTGCTCGGAAGGAATGCCTTTTGCTTCGAAGGGCACCGCTATCGGATCTCGCTTGGGATGCAAGCCATATTGGACGTTCCAGCGCTTTCTGAGACAAAGCAGCAGTATTCGATTGCGCAGCAGACCCCGAACAAGCAACAGCGTTTTGAACGCAATGTTGTCGTCGGTGAACAGTTTAGCCACACGCCCCAACAACTCATGATCCAAACTCGTTTCTAAGAGCACTCTGCGCAAGCTCTCAATGGAGCTATCTGTAGTGCAGTCTGCGAAGCGAAGAAATGACGTCCTTCCTGTACAAATCTCATCGACTATGTGTCGGTGCAGATCTTCCTCCACATCTGCTTGGAGGATGTAAATCATCGGATAGCCCTGGCCACGCTGCAAGACTTCAATATTCCGTGGGAATTTATGCTCAAGCTCTGGAAGATGGTCTTTCACCAGTGATAGCAGCGATTGCGCTACTTGCCAGCGATGCGGGTGACCGTCTACTGTAGTCTGCTTGCCGCTCGGATAGATGAGTTGAGTCTTTACGGCCAATGAAACGTCTGACTCGTCCAGAACGTCCCGGCAAACCGAGCTGAGATATTTTTGGAACTCGATCATTTCGCATGCAGTCTCTAAGTTGGCGCTGGCAAGATGTTGAAGGCCACTAAGCTTGTAGGAAAGAAGGTGCTCTGGTGCAATCAACACAACGCCCTGAACGTCTAAAATTTCCTGATGGAGGTCTCTATAGAGCTGAAGTGTTCGGCGACTGATGTTCGTTCTACGATAGAAAGGAATGTGTCGTATCTCACGACCGACTAAGCCGCCTAGTCGCGACTGGATCATTTGCGCGGTTGGCAAGAGCAATGGTTTGGGTACAATAAGACGAGGGAGCTGCTTGCCGTCTCCAATCACCGCCATTGCCATGGGAACGATACACGATGTCTTGCCTAGTGAGTATTGTCAGAAATTGCTTCGGCCCCACGAGCTTCTCGATCTACCTTTACCCATGTTCAACTGCAACACGGTGTTGTTTCTCGATTCCGGTGCAATGATAGCATGTGCCACATCAACCTGCTCCTGCCGGATCAGAATGTCACTATCAATCTCCAATAGAAGCCAGTCAGGCCATTCTAGTGGATTCCAATTTCCATGGCCGGAGTTCCCAAGTTCTTCCGAGAGACTATTACTTTTGCCACGATACAGCGCATTGTGAATCCGCACTAGTCGCTGCAACTTTGTGATGAGAATTCCATGTGCCACAATCGCCTCTTGTACAAAATCCCCAAACTTGGAAGACGATCTCGAGCGCAATTGCTCTAGAAGCGAGATTGACGTCATGCAAGGCCAGAGGTTTCCAAGGTCTAGCCACGAGAAGCGATCATCGTTGCTGGATAAAGCTCTTTGGATCTGGGCCAAGTGAGTGGCTATCACTGTACGGAGGTCTCGGATGCATCTTGCGTTGACTGTAATATTCGGGCTGGTATGTTGAACTAGAGTCTGATTGCTGGTCTTCTCCAGGGCATCAAGGCTCATCTTCAGATCAAGGCCATACTGCTGGCGGAGAGGGTTCGATGCCTTCACAAAGGCGCAAAGAATTTGCCGTAGCTCAACATTCTCCTTGACTGGCTTCGTCGCTATGATTTCCTGCGTCGCACCAACAGAGATCCTGATGTCATTCGGTAGGAGTAGCTCGCAAGCATGGCGGTCCAAAGGTCCTGGTAGCGATTTAGGGAGAATATCCCCCAAAATCGACGGTATGACAGGATCATGTGTTTCCCCATGAAATTGTTCTTGTGCCCAATCCCAAGCTTTGGAATATGACATATCTCCTGGTCCCTCGTGGTGTCTTAGTACGTCCTGCACACGAATTACGTACTCTGAGAGTGCCAAGTTTGAATGCAAGCGCTCCCACTCAGGGATAACACGCTCCATTGCGAGACCTATATCAAGTTCATCCGAATCGAACCCTCTCAGATTGACTTCTTCGTGTGGCCATTGATCAAGGAAATGTTGGGCTAACCGTTTCCCCTCAGCTTCACATGCCTTTCGGTGCTCTACTTCGGCCCTGGTATTTATTTGGTGACGCTTCTCCGGTAAATCGGCCGAGATGATACGAAAAATGGATTTCACACTGGGCTTCTCATTGAGTTTAAACTGATTGAATGAGGAACAAGATGGGGGTATCAAGTTCCTTAACGTCGGCAGAGACGCAAACGCTGCCAGGATCTTGATGGTGTCCAGGTCAGTCGTGCCATTAAGTGACATGAGACTTAGACGAAACATCAAGCTGTATGGTTCGTTAATATCGGAATGACGACATATATCCACAAGACTGCCCCATTGCTCATTGACGTTCTTCTCGACCAGGTCGCTCAGGCTTGCAACCTCGGCCCGACGTACCGTGTGGAACCCGCCGATAAGCTGCCAATCCTGTAATATCGCAGAAAGCTCTCGGCTTGTGTTAATTTGAAAGGGTTTTGTCTGGAAAAGGTTCGCAATGTGATAAACTTTGCGTGCTTGCATCGAATTGGGTTGCTGGCCTCGAGATTTATACATACAGTCGCTAGCTGCTGGCCTTATCGTATCGCCGACACTGCGCTCATAGACGCGGCGCTGCGCAAGGCCCCGTTTTCGAAGGTGAGACGGAACATATGCACTAATGTTGACATCCTTTGCTGCATTTTGAGCAAAGACCTCAAGATAGTTCGACCTATCAAGTATCTTTTGCACAAGCCCTTCGTATGCATCATGTTGAATAGTTACCGTAAGCCTTGCGTTCCAGGAAACAGCTTGCAGTGCTTGCTTGTGCGCCGGATAGTACTCTCGTTTTGGACTAAGGTCTGCAATCGTTTTGAGAATGTCGATTGCTACTCTTCCTAAAGGTTGCCACGGTTGACAATAAGCCGATTGAAGCATGTGCAGCGCTTCCTCCGTGCCAGTGCGGCCAGTCAAAGGATCAGGTATGACGAATGATGTATATGCATGAAATTGGGCTTTTGCGTATAAGATTCGGGGTTCGAGAGGGCATGACAAGCGTCCGAGAACATCATCAATTCCAAATTTCGCATAATCAGTGCTGCAAGCCGCTCTGACGGTCACATGCATTCCACGGCGTGCAGAGGATATTGCTTCGTATGGTGTGATTATACTGCGGCGTTTGATGTTTGCGATGTCACGCAGAACAATTTTGCTCTCCAACCCGTATAGTGTGCCAGCGTCTTGGTTTGGATCGATCTCTTCATTCAACTCTCGACATTGAAGAAGTCCCTTTGTATTCACAAAAAATGCTAGTTCCAGATGACGTAGCTCAACAGATAGGTTCCCTTTTGAGTGGATAGGCTGAAAGATGGTAATCTTGCGTGAGTCTTCAAAATGACGGAAGATATCGGCAACTTGCTTAAAGAGGGTAGAATTAGGGTCGACCAATAACGTCCGGTTGCTTCTATGAGCCTGCCATTTGATAAGATCAACTCTCCAGTCATTCATCCTTGTCCTCCACAGGACAGGCTTGCGTCGGATCTCAAGACACTTTGTGCTCAGATTCAACCAATGCGCACAATTGGAGATGAGGCCATCCGGAAGGTCAACGGCCTCGGGTCCAACAAAACGGTGAGACGGGATGTATTCCAGGAGCTCGTCCTGACTCCAAGCGCGGATGACGACCTGCCCGTTCCGAGATCCAAAGTGTATCTCATGGTTGCATATCGGTGATGCGAGGACGTATGACATGCCAAACTCTGCAGATGGAAAGGTGAGAAGCCGTTGGTCACCAAACAGCTGCCTCACTTCATCCGACTCTCGAACATCGTGTGGAAGTCTTCCTAAGGGCTTGCCATCAACAAGCAAGTGGCCCTCAATGAAGTTGTAATGAACTACTTGTGTATTTGCTGGGTTCTTCGAGTTGTTCATAAAACTCACTACCCATCGATCGTGTCTCGGTGAGACTTGCTGCCAGCCATCGAAAAGTTTCCGAGCTGAACTTCCCGGTTCTGACCATGATGCATTGATTGCTATGCCAATACTTTGAGGTTGGGCTTTTATGGACCGTAGTAAGACTTTTCTGATCTTATACGTTATTTTGGTGTCTCGAATCAGTATCCTCTTTAGGACTGGCGGCAGCTTGGCCAAGTCTACTAGGAGGTTTTCTTGAAGAGCTAATGAAGCCTGAACAAATGTTGATAAATCACTCTCTGACATCATAGTATCTGATTCTGTAATGTTGGAGAATGTCCGGCGGCAAAGCAATGCAGCCCAGAAAGCGTAGCTAGCGGCTGTTTCCCCGATAGAAGTCTCTTTGGCATTTCTAACGTCAGCTCGGAGACGGGTAATCCAATCCAAAGTTATGTGACGTGCCTGTACCAACAGGTTATCTGCTCGAATCATAGGCACCGCTAAGTCACAAAGGCGCAGAGTCAATGTGATCATGACCTCCATACAGTGAACCTCGCGCCAGTTCGACGTGATATCGCTGAGACGTTTTTCCACCTGTGCAGCCAGGCTGTCGCAGAATGACATGTCATCGAAGACTGAATGAATGTCTCCGAATGTATCATCCTTATTTTTTGCTGGCCCCGCCTGAATAGCAAGGTGATTGAACAGGTGCATCGTACTCTCGCTGCTGAAGTTCACATTTGATGCACCTAGTTCGACCAACATCGTCAGCCATCGACGGGTTTTGCCTGAAATCAGTCGCTGACAAGCGGTGAATTCATGTACGGACACGCTGGGTGGGCATTGCGTTTCTGATGCGACGATTTCATAAGAAGATGGCCCAGTCGTAACGGTGGGAGGGTGCAACGAGCTTTGTATCACGGAGCTGCGAAGGCTAAGCGGTACATATACTCCGCACTCATGCTGAAAAGTCAATGGTTTGTTGAAGTCCTTGACCCAGGTGCCTGAGCCTATATCAAAGTAGGAGAAATTCAATCCATTAGGATAAAGAACATCAGATTCGGATGCCCTCAACTTTTTCTTACTCACTTTGTAGTGCGTGCCAAGGAATGACTTGGATGTCGATGCAATAGTGATACCGGTAGAATTTCTCGATGCATATGCTGTGAGCGGGCCATAGTCTTTCAGGAGTACTGTGGGCGATCCAGATTGCGGTTTGGTGGGGTAAGCCAACATTAAAATCTTCCACGTTGCATTGCGATAGGCCGCAAAAGACCTTGGAATAGCCAACTCGAAGATGACCGCTGCTGCTTTGATCGCGTCATTGGGAAGGAAGTCTTCGTGCGCAAAGATCCGCATGCGGTTCCGAACTCGCCAGTGCCAGCATTTGGTACATCCCCTTACATCTCGCTCCCCATCACGCTTAAATGTGCAGGTACATATGCCTCCAGAGATGCCCAAGCAGTGTTCATCATATTCAGAACACCATCTCTCCAGCTCTGATACCTTTGCTTGGCGTGATGCCTCCGTTGCTACTAATATCCTTTGGTGGAGTTGTTGCATTGAACTGGAAGTCGAAACATATTTCACCACAAAGCACTCTTCTTTGGGCTCAGAGAATATGGTTGTTTGATAGATGCATCTCTCACATCTGTTGCGAATATAATTTTGGATGTCACGAAGGCGTCGCATTCCCGCGGCGGTCGGGATATGCAGGGCATCCAAAAGCTCAGGAGTAAACACTGGGTGGTACTCCAAGAGGAGCGGGCTAATTTTGACCATGTACTTGTCTAGCCTCACCCAGAGTCTAAAAAGACTCAGAATGAAGATTGACATTTGCTCAGGATCGGAGTTGTACGCTGCCCCAACAGTGTTCATGAGACCAAGGATCGCTTCTGATAGCTTTTCGCAAATCGATTCGAGGGTACGATCTCCAATTAACTGGGGTTCTTCTTGTTTCTCAATCTTACTTTCCAATCTGGTCAATCCATGATACATATCTGTAAACTTCTCAACTTGCTCGACCGTGGTATCGTGTAGTGGTGGAAGCTGCAACGAGGGAGAGGTCCTCTCCTGTGCGCGAGGTAATTTCAAAACGTTTTGAAGGTACGATCCACTGTTGGGAAGGGACAGGAATAGTGATTGTTGATCAGCACGTGTGGGAAGGTGAGGAACAGACCGTGTCGTGTCTCGCCTGAACTTCTCCCAGGCCAGATTGACCAGATGTGTGACTTTAATGATGCTTTCCTTAAAGAAGGCTGCAGTGGTAATGAACAGTGAACCATACAATTCGGGTGACTTACTCTTCTCTTGCTCAAGTTTTGCGAGACGGCGACAGACTTTGGCACGGAGGGTCATTGTCAGCTCGGGTGCCAGTCTTCCAGGGCATTCCAGAAGAAGCTCAATCAGCAGAGTGACGATCAAAAACTTATAGTAAGCTCTTCCACTCTCATTTCCTAGCGTGATTTGTAGTTGTCTCTGAATCCCCACGCGCAGTGTGATCCAGAGAGGCGATCTTCGCCATGGGAATTCCGCAACGCCAATGTTCGCATCATCTCGAACTCGTTTTCTCAAGCGAGGAATATCATCGTCTACAGAGGACCCAATGGACTCGAGCAAGGGTATGAGTAGGTGCGTTACCAGCCCTGGACTTCCTGTATCACGCGATTCGACAATCGGGGTTTGCGCTTTTGTCACAAGGGCCTGAAAGCATCTCAAGGGTTCCATGCTCCCCTTCTCCAGAAATTCGGCCAAGGCGTGTTGGAACGATGGCTTTTCGAACTCAGCAAGAGGTACCTGCGCCGAGCAGTCGGGGAAATCGCAGATAAGGGCGCCTTCGCTAGCCAGCACCTCGGTAGATGAGGGCGATATCTCGAAAGCCTCAAAGATAACAGCTTCTGTTTGGGTACTATCATAATATACATCAGCAATGATACTACGAAAACGCCCATGGGCAGCAACCATTACCTGGTATTATATCGAACGATTAGCGCAGCGTTCTGTTCAGCGATATGCAGAAGAAGCGGTTGTTCTTGATTGATTTTGCGGAATTGACAGATCAGTGACAGCTTCTCGAGCCGACCATGTGCATGAAGAGACTGATAACGATGAAGACTCTGACTAATCGCATACCAGGGGGTTGTCTGCTCCTGGCTAGTGATTCGGCTCAGAGTCAATGTAGCCTGAATTAGACGGGCGATAATGGCATCACCAGTGCTTCCAATACTTTCGTCTTGTCTTCCAAGAAGCTGTGGTGGTAGAACAAGGTGATTGAACACATCTATGAACACCGACATGATGCAGGTGGTAATATTCAGAATTCAGTTGATGATAGAAGAAGAGTTGCGGTACGAGTTATTACGAAACTATAGGCAACCACCCAACGTATAGCGTCAACACGAAGGTGACTCACGACGACCCGAGAAACTACAAAAGTTGAATAAAGCAACATTCTTGGATTTGGATAGACAAAAAATAAGCGATTCTATAATGCTGAACATTTCGATGTCGAATCAGATGGGGCGCGGTGCTAGGTGCTGGAGTGCAGGATGTAGCAGCGCTACGATTGACTGTTTGCTGGCGGTCCCAATCGGTACAGCAGCCGGTCCGGAATCCTGACATTCTTGCGTGGCAACACAGATTCTAGCTTCCCTGACATCGTCGGGTATGCCTTCCAATTCCGCTGGAAAGCTGGTCTTGGGACAAGTGATCCTTGGGCTCATTCTACAATCCAGATAGTGCAAGCTCATTGGGTAAGAACCGCAGGGAGATGCAGTAGAAGCTGTCCAGCCGACGTTGCATCGCAGTATGTGGTTAACCTTGCTCGGACTATGGCCCGTTATGCGTAAACTGCAGCTGTACAGGCAACACCGGCTGTCGAGTAATACTTTCTCAACAAGTCCGGAGCTATTTGTTGGGGCAGGCAGGTTTGCGGGTAACTCTGCTGGCGGATGTTAGTAATATTAGCATGTAGTGCTGATCGACATAGGGCTATTTGTCTGATGGTACTAAGATAATGCGTGTAATCTAAAGCAGCATTTAGTTTAGGGCCAAATTGTCCTCTCATTATTTGTTTAGCTGTAGTGATGTCAATGCGCCCTGATCACAAGACAATAGATACCTAGCGTAAGAGGCTATACTTTATTGGTGGAAGATGAATAAGTATCACTAGTAGCGTCTGCGGTCTATACAAGTACGATGTCTTATCTTGCTAAGCATACACTCTTCTAAAGGTCTGTCTAGCCTATTCTTTTTGATTGTTTATTTAGCTTTAGTTTAATGCCTTAACAATTTGATCAGAGAGTCAAGAGTGTATGAAGCAAGATACCATGTTTAGAAAGTGTGCTAAGGAGATCATTATCTGTGATGTGGTTGGACGTGAAAGCCAATGAGCGTTGTTCGATGTTTAATTGTATCACTGCATAACTTCTGCGGTCATATATTTTGCTTAGGTACTACTACGATAAAATATTGTTTACTATAGAATAGTACGCTAGGGGTTTACTATATAGGTGTAAACTAACCTTATATATACCTATAAATAGGTTTAAAGTAGTAGTTTACTTTTATTAAAGTAGTAGTTTACTTTTATTAAAGTAGTAGTTTACTTTTATTAAAGTAGTAGTTTACTTTTATTAAAGTAGTAGTTTACTTTTATTAAAGTAGTAGTTTACTTTTATTAAAGTAGTAGTTTACTTTTATTAAAGTAGTAGTTTACTTTTATTAAAGTAGTAGTTTACTTTTATTAAAGTAGTAGTTTACTTTTATTAAAGTAGTAGTTTACTTTTATTAAAGTAGTAGTTTACTTTTATTAAAGTAGTAGTTTACTTTTATTAAAGTAGTAGTTTACTTTTATAGTAGGGGTTTAAATTAAGTATAAAAAGTAGTTTTATTTCTATTATACGCTATAATACCTAACTAAGACTAAAAGAGGTAGAAAAGATTAGCTTTACGCTATACGCATATATAGTATAATAATAAGTTATAATATTTTTACTAATAGGAGGTAGTAATAATAGAGGTAGTAATAATAGAGGTAGTAATAATAGAGGTGGTGGTGATAGAGGTGGTGGTGATAGAGGTGGTGGTAGAGGTAGTGGTAGAGGTGGTGGTAGTAATAGAGGTGGTGGTAGAGGTAGTGGTAGAGGTGGTGGTAGTAATAGAGGTGGTGGTAGAGGTGGTGATAGAGGTGGTGGTAGAGGTGGTAGTAGAGGTAGTAATAGAGGTAGTAGAGGTGGTGAAGAAGATTAAAGAAAGGAGGGGTAAAATACTTAGATAGTTAGTAGGAAACTAGTAGATTAATAGAAGTAGAAGTAAAAGTAGAATACATAGTATAGTAAACCCTATTTAGGTTTACTTCTTCTACCTAAACCACTTCTTAGTCTACTTTAGATAAACATAGCTACTGTAAACCGGTTTTGTACCGTAGTGGTAGTGCAACGAGATAGTAACCCCAATCGATGCACTCGGGGAAGGAGGTAGTAATGGCGCCTATGGAGCCAAGAGCGCTCATGTCGCTGAAAGCAAAGCGACCTTGCCGTGCAACCTAACACGCACGAATGCTAAACGATCACAGGAAAATGACGAATTGTAGACAATTATGCGTTTCTGCTAATTGTGGTTCGAATTGTTCAATTACCTGAATGCCAGCCCACCTTTCCGTATATATTAGGCTACAGTTGCCTCTGTGCCTACTCCTATGTAGCTAGACGGACTCCGCACGATAGTGAACCCAGTTCTGGAACTGTGTTTTTCTCTTGAATGTCGCTGGATCTTGGCTGTTGCGTCTGAGTTGATATCGCGTCCTGCATAGCCATACTCAGAGCTTGTCACAGGTTAGAGATCAGTCCATCTGCGTTACACATGCAAGTAGCAGGAACAAAAGATATGCAGATAATGGCCAAGTCTAGATTCTGGATTCTCTGACACCTCAATATTGGCCACCGCGTCTGCGTACAACAGCTGACAGTCTCACAAAATGTGCAGTGGCAAATTGTCGAAGTATTGATTGCCTCCCTTCTCGGAAGTCGCCTATTACTTATAAACCTTCGCATTCCCACACAGTGAGCAAGGCTATCTCTATATTCATCATAAACGATGGTTGTCAAGTCATTCAATAATCACGTTCTCGATGAGCTCTGCTCAAAGGATCAACTAGATCTTCTCGACTCAATAGATCGTCTCCGCTCCCAAGGCATCGATCATTATGTTTCTCTGCCACAAATTATTGTTTGCGGAGATCAATCCTCTGGTAAAAGTTCTGTACTCGAAGCCATCTCAGGCGTCTCTTTCCCCGTGAAGAGTAATCTATGCACTCGGTTTCCGACTGAATTAGTCCTTCGAAAAACACTGCATGTTGGCGTCAGCGTGTCTATTGTTCCGGATCACTCTCACAACGAAACCGAGCGTGCCTCTCTCAGCAATTTCCATGAGACGCTTGACAGCTTTCAGGCGCTTCCCGACTTGATTGAGTGTGCCAAGAAAGCAATGGCCATTGGTAGTTTCGGTCGGGCGTTCTCCAAGGATCTCTTGCGCATCGAGATATCTGGACCTGACCGTCCCCACCTCACAATCGTGGACTTACCTGGTCTCATCCATTCTGAGACGAAGCAGCAATCCGCGGCTGATGTCGAGCTGGTACAAGATGTAGTAAAGTCATATATGAAGGAACCTAGGAGTATCATTCTAGCAGTTGTGTCTGCAAAGAACGACTACGCCAACCAGATCGTACTCAAATTGGCCCGAGCTGCGGATGAAGCCGGAAAACGTACGCTTGGTGTGATCACTAAGCCCGACACTTTGATTCCAGGATCCGACAGTGAGGCCATGTACGTGTCGCTCGCCAAGAATCTTGACGTAGAGTTTCGTCTTGGATGGCACGTTCTCAGAAACATGGACTCGGAGACCGGAGCCTGGTCACTCCCCAAACGTGATGGGGAAGAGAAGCGGTTTTTCACTGAAGGCATATGGCGGACGCTGCCCCAATCAATTCTTGGCATCGCGCCATTGAGGGAGCGGCTGAGCAAACTACTCCTGGGCCAAATTGCTAGCGAACTTCCAAGTCTTATTGATGAAATTGAAATCAAGTCTACCGCCTGTCGCACTCAACTGGAAATACTTGGCCTTCCCCGAGCTACTGTCGAAGAACAACGCCAGTATCTACTTAGCCTTGGCCAAGCCTTCCAGTCTCTGACCAAAGCGGCTGTCGATGGAACATATAACGATAAATTCTTCGGCAATGCTGCAATCGACGCTGGCTACCAGAAACGCATTCGTGCCATCGTGCAGAATCTGAACCAATCGTTCTCCGAAAACATGGCGCGCGAGGGCCACTACTATACTCTAATCGATTCTCCTAATGATGCCATAAGACAGGCCAGCCAAAAAATCAGGGTCTTAACACGCACTCGCTTTCTCGACCGTATCGAAGCACTGATGAAGCGGACCCGAGGCCGGGAACTTCCCGGCACTTTTAATCCGATGATAATAACCGACCTCTTTCTTGAGCAATCACGGCCCTGGGATGCACTTGCCAAGAGTCACATCGAACGAATAGCACTGGCGGTGACCAAATTCCTCACACACCTTGTTGCCCATATTGCGGACTCTTCGACGGGCGGCGCGCTGTTCCAGACGTTAATCGAACCGGAGCTGGAGAACATCGTTAAAATCGCGAAGCGAAAAACGGCGGATCTACTTGCTCAGCACCAGCATGGGCATCCGATCACATATAATCATTACTTCACCGAGACGGTGCAGAATATCAAAAAAGAGAGGAGTAGGGCAGAGCTCACCTGTATCATCCAGGACGTCTTCAAAGTAACGTCACTGGGGCGAGATGAACCATCCGAGTGCTATCACAGTCATGATTATCGACCGCTGTTAGAGGCGCTTATGGAGCACAACAACCCTGATACGAATCGCTATGCGTGCTGCGAGGCCTTAGACTGCATGCAAGCTTACTACAAGGTTCGTCAATGCCCAGAACATTTTTGCCTCATTTTTCAACGAGAGGTTTACTAAAATACATTCTCTCTTATCAGGTTGCATTTAAACGCTTCGTTGATGACGTCGCTGTTGAAGCCGTCGACACTCATCTCATCTCCAAATTGGGTGACATTCTCTCACCGACTAAAATCGCGTATCTTACTGCGGAAGTAGTCACGAGCGTCGCAGGCGAGTCCGACGAGGGCCTTGCAAAGCGTAGCCAGTTGACGAACCAGCTGGGTGTGCTGGTCCAGGGGTTAGAAACCTGCAAGAAGTTCGTCGTAGGGACATTGCATGGTATGTTTTGTATTCAATCATCGCTACAGAGTTGCAAGTTAGCACTGTGAGCTAATTTACGGTTGTCAACAGATACTCGTGAGGTAGCAATCGTTTCGAAACGTCCTGGAACATCTTCGACAGATCTATCGTTACCATCCTCTAGCACGGCATCTGCCGAATCTATCGCGAGCGTAGAGTTAGAGGATGAGGAAGCCGCCTACACTGAAGCGCTAGAATTAGACCAAGTGCTAGAGCCATTGTCAGAACCAGAGGTCCTACCCGATGAGTGTTATGATACGGCAATTCCTGTTGCTGAGGCGGTCGCTGAGTGCATGACGTTGGATGATGACTGTGAGACGCCGACACCAGCAGTATCCACAAAGAAAAAGAAGGGCAAAAGGGCTTACTGACTTGCTTATCAATATCTCATTGTGGGGTAAGGCAGAATGTTGCACATGAAAGTAGTAAAGTATAGCAGACACCTGTTTTCAAGCAATCATCCTCGTGAAGACAATAATTTGGAGTACATAGCATAATACATCTAATAGTGAGGTATATATAGGAAGGCGATATGTCATCATCACACTTTCTCAGCAATCTGTCCCAAAAACCAGGGCCGCCAAACTGTCTCGGCTAAAGTTTACAAATTCCGAAGTTTACCAAGTATCCTAGCTACAATGTGTCCTTACTAACTAGTTATCCTCTTAGTATAAACTGTTCATACTCTTCATATAGACTAATTATCCTTAGCTACACATCCTTACTAGCCTAATTAAGTAACTTATAGGCCAGAACATTATGGTTATAGGGTCCATATCTTTAATCCTAATAACCTACACTACAGTAAAAAATTGTTTACTGTAGAATAGTACGCTAGGGGTTTACTATATAGGTGTAAACTGACCTCGTGTATACCCGTAAATAGGTTTAAAGTGGTGGTTTACCTTTTTGTAGTATAAACATAGTGTGGTTTACTATAGACCTATTAGTAGAGTGAATAAGGTGGTTTATAATAGACCTATTAGTAGAGTATATAAAGTGGTTTATAAAAGACAAAATATAAGTGTTAGGTATAGTAATAATAGTATTAGATTTTTTTTAGTATCCTTATATAAACTACTAGTACGTTGTTGCCTATCCTGTCCCTAGGCCTAACCTGCCTAATTAATAGCCTATACCCGCCTAATTAACAGGCCTAAAACCACCTAATTATTAGCCTATACCCGCGTAATAATCAGCCTATACCCACGTAATTATAAGGCCGTCCACTGCGTACCTTACTTATTTTTAGAAAACCGCGGTATAATATAAATTAAATAGGTATACAAGTGGTACAACTACGCGGTAATTAGTGTAAGTTAGTATATCTAATATACTTACCTAATAAATGCTAGTATATTATATAGCAATAGTGTTAGTATAAAGAGCCTAGTACTATAAAGCTAGATATAGACCTATTATCTTACTTAACTATAGGTAGTTAGTCTTAGACTATCCGCGTTTATTAACAATATATAGCTTATTACTAGGTTAAAGTTAAGTGCTGCGTCTATAGTAAACTGTAGCTACTCCTATAAGGTTAACAATTATCGTTATTTAAATCTATTTAATGCTGTTATTATCTTCTATTATCCTCTAAGATTAGGCTAGTTAGCCTATAGTAGCAGCGGGTTATATCTGTCGCTATTAAAGTACTCCTGCCTATTTAGAGTTATTAGCTAGATCTTAAAATAGGTGTATTACTATCCTAAAGGAGAGCTAAATATAGTTATTATAATTGTTTCTAGCAGCGTAATATATAATAAACGTGGTGCTCTAGGGGTAGTTACTATCTTTATAATTCCCTAAAACCCTAATAGTATACCTATTTAGAAGTATATAATAGTTATATATAACTATATCCTAGGCGCGTGTCTATATAGTATGCACTGTAGTTACGATTATAGTATAAGTGTTGTCTAGGATACGTCCCTAGTGCGTATCTATGCTACTATAAGACTTAGATTTTAGATAGTACTCTTATAGCTAAGTTATAATTATATTTTTATTAATATTATACTCTATACTAAGCCTAAGCTATTACGCGTAGATAATACGCTTATATGCTAGCATATTCTACTCTAAACTAATATACTCCTAGAAAGGAGAAGTTACTATCTTCTTAATATAACTAATAAGTCTCTCTAAAGACTATTAGGTATAGTATATAGGTAGTCTAAAATCCCTAGTATTAGATATAAGGTAGAGTAGGTAATAGATCTAAATAGAGCAAGATAGTAACTAGTCTACTTTACTATAGTAGTAGAGTAACTTATACTAGCGAACAAAATTCTCTACTAATAGTTCTAACTTATTAATCTAGTTAATAGTAAACTCCCTCTAGCTTATATAGAAGAGTAGTTTATAGTAGCGTAGGAAGTTATTAGTATATTCCTTCTAAAGATAGACCTATATAGCTAGCGCTCTATAAGTAAGTATAAAAGTCTGCTATTTAAACAAAGTCTATATCTTATATATTATAGTGCTTTATAGGGCAGTGCTAACTTAGGTTAGTACTAAGGAACAGGACTTATAAAGACCTTTATTAATTAAAGCCTAATTAGTATTAGTAATAAGCTATAGTATAGTCTTGTTGTTAAATTTATCCCCTTTCTAGAGTTAGAATAAGGCTTTAGGTATATTATAGGACATTACGTGTATAACGTTAATAGGAAAGCTATAAGGAAAGTGTATAGTAGGGAGGTCTAATAGGATAGAGCAGTAGTTAATACTAGTATCTTAGTGTAAGGTAGTGTATCTAAAGGCTAGCATATTAGTCTATTATTTATATATATCTTTAATAGTAGTAGCTAAATTATTATATATAACTAGGTAAAGGGTATCTCTATTTAGGAAAGAGTATTTGCTAGTTCTTCCCTTAGTTCCTTTATACAGGCATAGGTAGCAACTCCTTTTTAATATACTAGGCTATTTTGTTCCTATAATCTCTACTATAGCTAGCCTATCTCTAGTTATTAGTATAAGGTAGGCGTAAAGGATAAATTCTTCCTAAGCGTCTGCGTTATATATGTAAACTCTAACTGCAAGTTAGTGTAATTCCTCTACTATTAGGTATAGCTAAGTGTCTATAAATTTTTTATTAAAAGTACTAGGTATAATAGTAGTAATAAGTGCATTATAGTCTTAATCCTAAATAGATAGGTAAAGGTTTAAGATATATAGCACTACTAGTGTAATACTTTATTATTTCTTAGGGTTCTTTACTATACCTACCGCATCTAATATAAGTTATAAAGCTAGATCCCTAGGGTCTTAGAAGTATCCTTTCCTACTATATTCTTAAAACTAGTCCCTATTATACACGTCTTAGTGTAAAGTACGTTCGCTAGTAGGGTTAAAAGTTGCCTAATACGCTTTTAATTATTATAACTAATAACTATTATTATACTAGATATACAGTTATAGAAGTATAGGGATATATTACTATTAATATTTTAATTTGCCTTTCTTATTATACTAAGCTCTGCTATAGGATAGGCACGTATAAGCAGTGTTAAGGTCGCTAGTAAAGGCTACGCACCTATTAGCATAACAATTAATAGATAGAGGAGTTATAGTATCCTAGAATAAGGTATATAGTGTATACTGCCCCTAGTAGATAGTATTACTAATATTAATATTATAGTATTTCTTTAAGGTTTATTGCATCTTTTAGAACTTCTTATATAAAGTACCTATAAATGCGGCGTATATATTAAGAGAGGTAGTGTAAAGTTATTAAACACGCTCTATTTGCTTATAATATAGTGTGTGTCCTATTTGCTATTACATGTCCCCTAAAAAGTCCTCTAGGTATAGAACCTCTTTGTCCTTGTCTACAAGTTATATATTATTATTATAGTTGTCTATTAGGTCTACACTATTACTAGCAGAATTGCTAGCAGAATCGCAGGAAGAATTAATGTTAAGTACTCCTTGTATGTTGTTAAGGTGTAATAGTTAACTAGTAGGGTGGCTAGTAGTCTATAGTATGGCAGTATCTTTAGCAGTAGTAAAGGGAATATTTTATTTATAGCACCTTCGCTAGTGTTGTATATACTACTTTTAATTCACCTTATAGCGTATACCTTAGTATAGAGTAAGATAATAATAACACTAGAACTTGTTCTATTAACTAGATATTTATAGGCAAGGGGCAGTAATTACCTACTACGTACTATCTATAATAGTTTCTACGTTAATATAGCACTTAGGGATATAGATAGTAGATATGTAAATATAGATAGTAGTGTCTAATCTAAACTGTAGTGTGTTCCTTTAATAAGCTATAATACGATTATGCTAGTCTTCTAGTATAATAGCTTAGTAGCGTAAACTTACTATTTTGCTATGCTAGATAATATAAATATTAGTAAGCTATATATGTATTAGTAGAGTTATAAAGTTTTATATTTATTATGGTTACTATAATAAATATATTAGTATAGAAAGTAGACTTTATATTATCTTCTTTTATACTATATAGGTATTCTACTTTATATATCTATATATTCTACTATAAGCAGATATACTAGATATAGTTTATCTTACTATAAGTTAGACCTAATCTTACCTACTACTTAAAATAATACTATTAAAGATGTAGTATATAACTGCGATCGCGATAGTTAAGACTACTAGAATAACTATCTAAACTATACCTAATTAAGGAAACTCGCTAAGCTTATAAGCTAACTCTTCTAATAAGATAAACTATACTATAGTGACTTTCTGCAACTATCTCGTAATAACTAAACCTCTAACCTTATTATAACTATTAGACTTCTATAACAGGATATTTAAGTGTGTAGATATACAATTGCTTAGAAGACTAATAACTATTCTAGAGTATAGCGTAATACTATACTCCGCGCCTATATTCTATTCTACTTAGGAGATTTTACGTTAAAATATATTAGTTCTAGGATAGATAATTAACTTTAATAGATTATTAACTTAAATACTTAGGACTATTACCTTAAAAATAGTGTAGAGAAGCATACTAGTCTACGTCTATTACGTATCCTATTAGATTGCAAAGAGTGTTATAGCTATATTATAGAACCTATAATATTAAATTAATTAGTTTAGAACAGCTCTTTCCTTAACCTAATTAGATCCTAGAGTTGTATTTACTAAGATTATATTTATAAGGATAGGCTAGAGTAACTTAGATAGTATATTATCTATATAAATAGTACTATAATATTAATACTAATATATATCTAATTTAAAAACCTCTAAGTCTAATCCTATATGCTATAGCGATATTATAGTAGTTAGGGAGCTTACTTTACCTTTACTGCATAATCTACCTTATAGAACTCTACTATTAAGCAGTAACTTAGTGTATCCCTCTATAACCTTAACA